CGAAAGTTCCTTGTTTTCCCCCCCCCCCCCCCCCGTTTGCTTGGCTGCAAGCTTAGAAAAAACATATCAGCAAGGAGAATGACTGTGAAATTTCACATGTTTGAATGTTTGTCTTGATTCTTTTGTTTTTAGCATTTGCATTTATGGCGGTGGTGACCGTAAAAGCCAAATAAATGTGGTTGCAAAGGGAGTGGATATAGTCATTGCTACACCTGGAAGATTGAACGACCTACAAATGAACAATTTTGTTACTCTAAAAAGTATAACTTACTTGGTAAGTAACTATTACTATTTAAGGCAGAAAGTTTAGGTTAAAAAAAACTGAACAACAGTTGCAATATGTTGCATAGCTTCCAAAAACCTACAGAAGCTAAACATTTTATCTTCACGGTAACATGAAAATTATTCTTCTCTCCACAAGCTCCAATCTTCCAGACTAGTTTATAAAAAAAATATTTTTGTAATCCTACATTACAAAAATAGATGTAAAATCCTTTTCTTGCAGTATGTAACGGGACACAGGTGCCTCTCCTCTTATGATCCACTCCCATTGCTTGCTTAAAAAAACGACGCTTGCTGGAAATTGCTGTTCTTTGCCAGTGTCCAATCACCTGGAGACAGCTGCATAACCTACAGTCTCAGATTACCATCTTGTGTCCTGTAATGTACTCCAGGAAAAGGATTTTACAGGTAAGACAAAAAAAAATGCTATTTCTATTACGGTCACTGTTCCTGTTGGGAGAGTTTTTGCTCACTACTTAGGAAGAGAGAAAAAGTTTAAGAGCTACAGAAACCGCAATAAAAATCTAATAGGGGGTCCTAACCCCCCTATCTGTTCATTACACATAGAAATGTGCAACTTGCCTGCTTGCCTTTTTCTAAGTGCAGTTTTTCAATGTGAGGTCCTGCTTATTAGTGTCTTGGGTATTTATGCTGTTACCCAGTTGGACAAATATCACACAATTCATAATCATGGTTATTATTCATATTAATGTGAAGTGAGAATTTTATATACCGTATATACTCGAGTATAAGCCGTCCCGAATATAAGCCGAGGTACCTAATTTTAGCAAAAAAAACTGGGAAAAAGTATTGACCCGAATATAAGCCGAGGGTGGGAAATGAGGCAGCTACTGGTAGATAGATACCAATAAAATTACATTAATATTTATTTAAAAGAAAAATAACCTAGCTCTGTAAGTGGAAAAGGGGGTACAGGGCTACATATCATGTACTACGGATCATATAACCCATTCATATTAGCAGAGGATAATTGTAAATCTATTGTTCAGTGCACTCTATATGTAGTATATAGTACATGTACATATAGAGTGCCTGCAACAATACATTTACAATGATCCTCTGCTAACATGAATGGGTTAAATGATCCATAGTACAGGGCTACATACAGATAATTTAATACATTCATGTTAGTATAATTGTAAATGTATTGTCTGCACTGTATTAACAGTATATACTC